GGGGGGGGGGGGGGGGGGCGCTTACGGTTGGTTGATATTTCCATCCAACAGCAACAAGGCGCGTATCAGCTTTCCTGCCCCCCTCCCTCTTTCTCCAGCCAAACATACCCACTTAACCCCGAACACGATGTCGACGATAACACAACACCCCAGATCAACCATGACAGGGAGAGGGGAGGGCGGGGGCAAAAGCCGCTCGCCGTTGGGTAATAATTCCATCCAACAACACAACAAGGCGTTACACAATTCTTCTGTCCCTCTTCTTCACCACGCCTGACATACTTAACCCCGAACACGGTGCCGCCGGAAAAAATATTTCATGTCGAGAGAGAGATCAAGACACACCACGTGACTATTAACCGGACTTTTCAAACCAGGTCGGACCTACGATCTGGACGGATCGAAACCCGGCGGCAACAGTAGAGATAATCGCCTTTCAGTACAACCCCGCCGTACTGATAGCAGTGCATGCCGCTCTCGATGACTAGATTACAACAATTTTGTGAGAACTTTTGTACCCGGCTGGAAAATAATTTCAGGGAGAAAGTAATGGTACATAAAAAGTCGGGCACACGCACGCATGCCCCTGGAAGGGATTAGAACGCTTTTGAGTAGTTTCCCGACTTTCACCGAAAGATGGTTTAAAGTGCACTACGTGCACTACACCAAACAACAAGCAATAGTGACTGAAGTACTTGAGGTAACGATTGCACACGACCAGCCAAAGCCACGGGGAACAACTCAAAGACAAAAGAGAAACGCTGCTGTAGATGTCTAGCACACAACCAACTATGCGTACGAAACCACCGGCCGTGCTTCGGCGTCTACAGCAGTGTAGCAGCTCGTGGAACACACTCAGATACCAGCGTACATAGAAAATACAGCTACAAAAACGACCGGTACCTATCTCAGTACGGACGGGTGAAGGTACCGGGCAGAGAGATACGAACGTTTTTTAAATATCAAGGCAACAACTGGAACATAAAAGACCTCTCGGTATCTCACTTACGGGCAAGCTAAAGTGCAGAAGCTGTTGCGGCGGTCGCCCATGCCAAGGGACGGCGATACTCTCCTCATGCGGCACAAGCTCTTCGCCCGTTGGTGTTTCCTCTCATTGTCCCGCCCACTGCGGGCTTCCTGTTCACTTCATGGACGAAAAAACAAACATGAACGAACGTATGTACGCAGAGGGCAAGCGTCCTCCACGCAAAAGAAAAAAACGAAAAAAATCCTTGAAACCCTGCAAAAGCTCAAAAGTCTAATGTTTTTACTCAATCGTCATCATCTTCGTCATCATCTTCGTCATCATCTTCCTCTTCTCCTTCTTCTTCCTCCTCCTCCTCCTCCTCCTCCTCTTCCTCCTGCTCCTCCTCCTCCACTCCTTCCACCTCATCCCCGTCCTCTTCCTCCACCTCACCCCCCTCACGCCCCAGGTCCTCCTCCTCCTCCTCCTCCTCCTCCTCCTCCTCCTCCTCATCATCATCATCATCATCGTCCTCATCTCCACTTGCCGCGGCAACCGAAATGATGTTGGTCACGTTCCCGCCGCCATCATCCGAGTCGGAGTCGGAGTCGGAGTCGGAGTCGGAGTCGGCGCTAGAGGAGCCGCTCACGTTCAGGTTGACATTCATCGAGATCCCCAGCCCATCCTCGTCCTCGTCCTCCTCGTCCTCGTCCTGCTGCTGCCCTACCCTCTTTTTCTGCACTACCTTCTTCTTTTTCTTAATCTTGTTCTTCTTGTCACTGCTGCTGCTGCTATCGCTGTCGCAAAGCACGCCGTGTGGTGCAGGGAAACCCAGCCAGAGTCGAGAAACCGAGCAGGAGGGGGGGGGGGGG